CGGTTTCTGAACCCTGGCTTTCTGCCCAAGTATTAAAAAAAAAAAAAACCAACCAAAAAAAAAAAAAATCAGGAAGGGGAAGAAGATGAAGTTGAGTTTATTTTACATGCAGTTACTTACCAAACTGGCTATAAGGGAATTCTGGAGGAGCAGTTGGGGGTTTGCTCATGTCCTGAGTTGCCTGAGATGGTGGTGGTGGTGGTGGAAAAGCTAGTGGTGCTGCCCCTGGAGTGGCAGGTGGAGGGGGTACTCCAGGTGGGGCAAACTGGTCAGGTGGAGGAGGTGGAGCACCATAACCAAAACCTGAAAGGCAAGGAAAGCACAATGCATGTGAGAAGACACAGGTGAACAGCACCCTGACTTCTTGGCTGGCTTTAGAGTATGATACATTCTTTTTTAAGAACAGAAGTCTTAAAACCAAAGTGTTTTGTTACCTACTGTGGGCCATACAGTAATTTACTCCTACAGTCTGGCAAACACTGTGGCTAAAAGACCCAACAATACACCTTCTAACATGAACAATCTCACCCCAAAGGAAGACTGCGGCCTCAGCAGCAACCAGCAAAGAGAAAGCGACCAAGGAGAACTAGGGACTAAACTCTGCACACTCACAAGCACATGTAAGAGACATGAGGAGGAAGGCATATTATTCCAGATCATAGGAGGAAAACCAAGACATCCCAAGCAACAGCTTTCTTCATAGCAGAACAAGTAACTGTGGGTGCTATTTTCCACCACCTCATTTTAAGCTGGGCTTGTGACTACTCTTTACAAAAGGTGGCCTGAGGGGTAGGTGCTAAAATCCTATTTATATTTCCAATGCCACTTGTGACCTTAATTCCTTAAGCTCCTCCAAAACATCCAGCCTGTGTCTAGCCCAGGTCACCACGCAGTAATTTCTAACTTCTCTCCTGGATGTTGTAATAGGAGTACACAATCAACCTAAATTCATTTAGCAACACAGTTTAAGCCTGAGAACATAAATGATCACTGTACCCAAGTAAAAAAGTAACCCAACTCACTGACAAGAATACTTCAGTATTTAATTATAGCTCAGAATATACGATCTGAGCAAAACATGTGAAGATTGATGAAATGTAGGTTGGAAAAAAAAAATAAAAATCAAAGTCCAGAGAAAGATGAGCAACTCCTGTGGGTCACTTACTAAACGGTGGAGGGGTGCCATAGCCCTGTGGAAATCCTTGTGGAGGTGGGAATCCTCCAGGAGGCGTAGAGACTATGTATGAGGTAAATGGTGGTGGTGGTGGAGGAGCTCCTCTTCCTGGAGGAGGTGGTCCATATCCACCTAGAAAATTAAGAGAAACCAAGAACTAAAGCAGCTTAATAATGCAAAGCTGCTGCTTAAGTCAGCATTCTCTAGATGGGGTAAACCTGTTTTGACAGATTTCAGACATGGTCTCAGCCCTTCTATGAATTCTTATTTTGGGAAGTATTTGTCCTCCAAGTATCCCTACTGTAAATATTTGCAGTTTAGAATTTAGTTCCTTGATAACAAATTACTGTGGCTGGCAAGAGCAGGATGCACGTCAGCTCCCATTACTCAGTTTTTAAGAATACACTATCTTCTTTGTTCTTTCAGGACAAATTCAACCAAGCTTTTAAATGTAGGTTAAATACTACAGAAATCCACAAATCACTGTGAATTCTTAAAGAAACTGCACTCTCACTCAGTAGAATCTCTCTTTTACAATCAGTCCCATGTAATGTACTTACCAATTGCCTGTCCAGCTGGCACCCACATCCCTAAAACAGAACAAAAACAGTGTGCACTGAAGCTGCGTACTATGAGAGAGGAATGATTTAAAAAGAAAGCTGATCTTGCTCAGGGCTCTGGAATAGACCGGGGGGATCCTCCCAGTGTCCTTACAGTTCTATTTTTATGGTCCAAGAAATAGTCCAGGGCTATTTCTGCATATGCAATTCTGAAAAGGCTGTGAATCATTCAGCAGATAATGCACAGAGGAGACAGGAGTCCCCAAACTCCAATCAGATGAAGCATTCAAGAGCTGCAAGCACACCCAGTGCAGGAAACTGTACTAGTATAAAGAACAATACCACTGAGGATCAGAGCAGACTACACATCCAAAGCGGTTTTAGTACACTCCTAGGTTTATTCTAGTTATTTCTGAAGGTTTTGAACCATAAAAACATCACCTTCTGTATCTGTCCTCACATTAAGACTGAAAGATAAAGCATTTCTGTTTCACAGTAATCTTTCCAGCAGATCAGGTATCATTTTCTCTACAATAACTGCATTGAAAATAATCTAGTTTCTCAATTTGCACAGTTGCAGATTAGCACATCTGTGTGAATGTCAAAGCCTCAGCTGCAGCTTTCAAGTTAATAAGCACCATGGGGAAACAAGCAATCCCTCCTCTGAGGTATCATCTATTCTAGCAATAGATGAAGCAGTGACACTCCCTTTAGCCCCCCAGGTGAAAGTTTCTCATATATCAGAGCAAGCAAGTTCTGTTCTGTCAAATGCAACTCGATTATACCACTGGATTTCTCCGTAAGATACCAAAACTGTCTTTGGATGAACTCAGCATATTTATCCTGTCTTCAAAATCTTGGGGGGGGAAGGGGGTGGGTGTTAAAAGCCATCAAGCCCAAACCACACGGCTGCTCCTTTCAGCCCTAAAGGGTTCAAGCTAAATCATGAAGATTCTAGGCAGCAAGTGCTCCCCTGCACCACTGCCAGCCTCAGGGCTGCTTGTTATTGTTCCAGACTACATTAAGCAATAAAATCTAAAAGACAAGACCATCTGTTATTTCTCTTTTCCCTTTCAAATTTTACTTATCACTTCCTTTAAAACTGCCTCATCCTTGAAAACCTGGATTTTCAACAGAATTTTTTGTTGGGGTCTGAGGCAGACCCCAAGCTGGAGTCACAATGTGAGCTGCTGAGCTTTCTCAACACCTTCTCTACCTTATCCAAAACCATGCCCATTCCACCTGGGGAGAGGCAGAACCAAACAGCAGAGGTGAAACACTGCCTAAGAAACATGCTAGACATGGCACAACCCACTGACTTCCGCCCTACAAAACCAGGTGTTTTGGGAAAAGGAGCAAAGGAACAATCTCAGCAGACTTGGGAAAGACTGATGTGTGGAATTTTAGCTCTGCTGACAGGAATCCAGCAGAGCCATGGCACTGATAAGCCTGGGAATACCATCATTTGCCAGAAACCTGAATTGTCAGTAAGCTGTAAAGGAAAGATTCTTGCAACAGTGACTCCAAGACAAGTAAAGCAGTACCTTGAGGGCCATAACCCTGTTGCCAGGTTGGAGGGGGCTGCCCTGCCCAGCCATTGGCAGCACTTGGCATGATCCTGCTTCCCCACTGACTGGTGCCGGGGGGACCTGGAGTTTGGCTTTTGCTATCACGAGGTTCTGCACGTTTCACCTCCACCTAAACAAACAGAGTCACCACTTAGGAGAGATGGCGCAGGTTAATATATACCCCCCTTCCCTTCACACACACCCTTAGTTACACTTAAGACTACACTTAGCATCTTATGACTTATGTCTAAATACTTAATTATTAAACTTAAGGCCAGTAATTTAAAATGTTTCTCAGGTACAATATATATGATGGTAAGACATTACAAGTCCTACTATTGAGGTCTTGAGAAAAACACATCCTACAAATCACTTCTGTTTCATCATAGTACAGTATTCATTTGCTTTAATCTTAAAACAGCAGTACCCTCTTAAAACGGCTCTTCACTTAAAAAAAAGATAATCTTTTACATTATTTATGGACTAATTCAGCACTTAAGGCAGGAGTTACAAAGATGACATTTTCAGCCAAAAACACAAACCAACTTTGAGTAAAGAGGACGCTCTGAAAAAGGGTACTAATGCTTTAATCATTCCAACATGTTTGGGGTTCATTTGGAAGTTACAGTTTAAACCCACCCCATCTAACTACAATTTCAGCTCTGCTCATACCTGAGAAACACACATTTGGTTGGTTGGTTTGGGTTCGTTTTTGTTTGGTTTTGTTGATTTTTTTTTTAATTTTTTTGTTTGTTTGTTTGTTGTTGTGGTTTTGGTTTGGTTTGTTTTAAAAACTTAAAATTTTATTTAAATGTCTAATGGAAGATAAAGACTTACCTTCCCCAGGCTAACGCTTAAAGAATCTCAATTAACTCAAACAATGTCAGAGGGAATGGATGTGATAAGAGAATCTTACATTACATCTAACAAAAAAGTAAACAAACATGCAAGTAATAAAAATGGACAGTTGAGTCAATAAGAAGCAAATCTTCATACTGTGTTAAGTCAGTGACAAAAGCCCTCCTGTTTTGCAAATGAGTAAGCCACAATGCTTAACTTATTTTAGTCAAAGATAAAATGTCCTAGTGTTCCAAGCCATGGAATAAGTGCATTTGACCTACTTAAAATAAGCTGCATACTCAATATAAACCTCTCTCTCTCAAAAAAAATTCCCAGTTTCTGATTTAATGAAGCACTCTCAGCACTCCTGCATGCTGAATTCAAGGCTTTTTTTATTTTATGATTAATTTTAATGGGTGCCAGAGTACAAAGAAAATAAATCTCAATCATCAATGGGCCTGAGTCGTATGGAAAAGAAAGTATTCAGAATTCTTCCTGCCATGTCTTAAAACCCATTCATGTCAGAGAACAAACAGGAAACAGGCACAAGGCAAGGACAAAGCCCCCCGCCCCCACCCCACTGCAGATGCCCCAAGGACATTAGACATGACATTAACCAAATCTCAGTCAGCTGAAGGCCCTTCCAGAGAGGATCCAAGGGAATTTTTCAAAGGACTCAAATTAATGAGTCTTAACACATTTGCCTCGAGGGAATTCAGCTATTGCTTACAAAAGCAAGTCCTTCTTGCAATTTTAATTTCTTTTTTTCTTTCCTTTCAACAACATATGGATTCATTTCAGCAATACCTTTATAATTACCAAAAAGATACCATTTTTAAAGCAGGCATTATTAGTCAGTGAAGGAGAGCAGAATATGTGGAGCTCATTAATCTATGTAGAAGTAGTCCATTCATTTTTCAGTGCACATTTGGAAGTGGTGCACTGCCAAACGAAGGACTGAAAAAATCCCTGTGCAATATCCTTCAACAGAGGTTAAAATTCTACCTAGTGTCCAGTTTGCACCAAGAAATGAGGCATCTCCGCTGCTCCTGGCTGAAAAACCACTGTGTAACACTGCAGGTTTCTGTTCTTTATGTCATTGAAAGGAAAAAAAAAGGGGGGGGGCAGGAAAGAGATTCTTTCATTTCGGTTCTGAGATTGTTTGGGAAACAATGGGGAACTCTGAATTAGCACTGACAGATGCTGAAAGCCACAGTGTAGGGGCTGACACTCTGAAGGCTCACACAGGGTTCTCCATACATTCCCAGAACCATTCCAGCAGATGTACTCTCCTTTGTTCCTCTCTACATCATGCAGCTTTATGATAGGACCTCTCATTTAAGCGGTTTGTATAAGTTTAACGCAATTCCAAGGAAAGATCTGAGGGTGCAGGTAAGGTTATAAGTAATTCTTACACAAACCAATGTAACTCTAGTGCTGTCAGTGCATCTGCTCACAAATGGGAGTGCTCAACTGCTCACAAGAGGAAAACACTAATAATTACACAAACATACTTTTTAAATTTCCATTACTAGGAAATCAGCCCACCCCTTAACCCCAAAACAAATTCAATGGAATAAAAAGCATTATATACTGCATAATTAACCACTGACGAACTATCATTTCACTGATAGGCAGGAATATATCCCCTGCTGGCTACATAAACGCTTATGGACTATCAGCACACAGAAAGACTTTAAAAGACAATGCAAAATTACACAATGCAATAATTTAAGGAAAGCAACAGTATTTGTTGTGTCTCCTTGAAATCTATTCACTCTGCAGTCAGCAGTTTTAACACTGGCTTTAAAAATTGTGGATATACTGTAAAGGACTTTTAAGTTTACCAGAATTTCCTCTGGTTAGTTTTAGTTTAAGAAGTTATTTTTTTCTCTAGAAATCTTGTGTGTCCTGCAACAATTTACTTCGCTTTTCTTTTTTTTTTTCCACAGGTCCAAGCATGTTCCTTGTTGAGTAACATCAAAGCAAGCCTGAAAAATTCCTCTCTAGCCAACATCCTGACAACACAGTATGAAGATGAAACAACCAGAGGTCACTTAACTGCATTGTGGTTAAATACTACATAGAATACGTGGGTTTGTATCAAAGTTTCACAGTAAGTGACCCAATTTTTTGTAAAAAACCAATCCTTCATGATGTTTTTTTTCCTCTTTTAAGTTTAAGATTGTATAAGGTACGTTGTCTCACACCACCTCAAAATTTGAGTTTCAAATACACATCTGAAGGAGTGGTATCTTAAACCAAGCCTTGAACAACTCAGATTTCATTGGGATTCTGCTTTTCAAACAGCTGGAAACAACTATCTTCTCTCCTTGCACCTAAGCAGCGCTCAAAACAGTGGTAGTCACCATCAACTCATTTCACTGTGAGCTATGCTGAACAAGAGCAACCCTCCAGGTCTGTAAACACAAGGCCTTACCCCAACCACAACGGCCCACAGCCTAAGTTCTTTGGCTCTCAAGATCTGTCTCTTCTAAGGGGATAATCTTTCCCCACCTTCATGGATAAAGCCTCGAATTGGGATTTATGTGCTCCCCCGCCTAACTGAATCCATGACTAAGTTTAATTCACCAGTGAAATTGCTAGTTGCCCAAGACTTGGTTCTTTCTTAAGGTAAAATAAAACTACAACTACACACTTTTTTGCCCATGATGTCGTGAAAATGCATGTTGACAGCCTGGTCCACTGATTGTTCGTCCTCGAAAGTAATAAATCCAAAACCTAGCCAACGACGAAGAGTGAATCAAGGTAGCAGGGTGTTGTGACACAAAACAGGATGATGAACAGTATTAGGGGCGGACCAAGGGTTCAAGCAGGGGTTTCAGATAACAGACTTGTGTTAAATTGTCAAAAAAAGTCAATCTGAGAAAATTGCAATGGATACTTCCTGTCATCAGGCAGTTTTGAATGCCTCAGCCTGGTTTCACACATGCAACTTAAACTGAGCTTGGTCACTATCTTTGAATTTGATTTTACTCCTAAGCCCGCCTACCAGGAGGGAAAAAAAGTGTGAATATAGTCATAAATATAACTGTGCCACATGATTAAAAACAAACTTGTGTGACAGCAGAATAAAGTCAAGCAACTTTGCTGCTCCTATCTTTGAATCAGACTAGGTTCCCAAGGAAAACCTATTCTGTCCCTGCTCCCCAAAGCTGCAAAGCAACTTCCTCCCATCCCTTAGCCCATCTTCCAGTTAGGGAATATTTTCTGTTGAAAATAATAAAGTTGTCTTTGAAATGTAGCTGTTAAAGCATGAAAAATTTTACCACTCCATGGATGAATGAGAAGCTTCAGAAACTAACAACCTAGAGCAGAGGTTCTCAAGTTTTCCACACCTTAGAAAAAGCATGTAATAGACATCACACCTTCCAAACACACCCCTCTGCCAACTGAAGAAGTGTTGCTTATAAGGAACGTGGTACTTGCCATCACATCCTTTAATCTATTTTATTTCTTCTATTTCCTGCTGCTTTTCTCTTGGAAAAATAAAAAAATAAGTAAAATAAGCAACCCTTTTCAGTCCCTCTTTTTGCCCAAAGCATTGCTACCAACTGCTCCAGATCCCCAAGGGGGGCTCGTACCCTTTCATCTGACCGTAGCCCCTGATGGTGGCAGCTCAGCCAAATCCGGCAGCTTTTTAAAAGGTCCCAGGGGAATGTCTGATGCCTGCAGAAGATGCTGGAAAAGAGGCAAAGCCCCAGGACTAAATCTCTTTTTGAGGTCACACTTTGAGAACCACTGCACTTAGGTTCTAGCTGCTGATACTGCCGAGAGAGTGGCAAAATAGTGGTTAATTTCACAGAACACAATCGGCTGGTTCATGCCATCAACCACTCGCTGCTGGTGTAACAACCAATCCCAGGAAAGGGAAGAAACATGCAGTACATAAATTGTGCCAGTCTTTAGATTAGCTAAGGGTAGAGCAATAAAAATTAGAAAGAAAAACGAGGTGCAGCATCAAAAGCATATGGAACATGGATGCATTTCTGCTTTTCTGAAACCCAAGATTTCCCCCTTGGTTTGCATTTTGCTTTGCAGCT